AAAGGTCTCCAGACATTGTCAGTGTCCTCAGAGGAAAAACCAACCCGAGTGGAGAATTACTGCTTGAAGTAGTTATGTAAATAAAACACGAACAAGAGGTGTGAGACTCCATACTGCCTCCTGAAGAACACTTCTGCTGCCTAAGGATAATGAATATTAAGTTTCTTATATGTCTTCAGGAAGTTACCATGTAAAATGGTATCTATTCTGCACAGTCATGACCATTCAACATATACCTTGATATAATTTCATTTTTTTCTTCTTCTTTTTTTAAATTTTTTTGATATTTTTCATTTTAATAGATCTGTGAGACTTTTGTATTATGGTGCTTACAGTTTCATATTACTCTTTTTAATGTCTGCACAGTGTTGCATTGTTATGGATGAACTAGTAATTCATTTAGCTAGTCAGTGTACATGTGGGTCCTAATTTTTTTTATCCTTCTGAATACCATGGTAAACATCCTTGTATTTTCATGTTGAATACTATGTGATTACAACTATATCATTTAGAGTATTCCCTAAAAATGGAATCACTAGACCAAAGGAAAAGTACATTAAACATATTTGTGGACAGTGTTACACTAGCATCTGCGTGTGAGGGTAGCCGTTTCCCCAGGTTATCAAACTTTAAGCCTTTGCTCATGATAGCCCTGTGTGAGTGTATTTCATAAAAAGTGAGATTTCCTGTATTTATAAGTTGTTTTTTCCCCTGTGACCACACTGTGTATATTTGTTTTATCTTTTTTTGTTATTATGTTATGTTAATCACCATACATTACATCATTAGTTTTTGATGTAGTGTTCCATGATTCATTGTTTGGGCATAACACCCAGTGCTCCATGCAGAATGTGCCCTCTTTAATACCCGTCACCAGGCTAACCCATCCCCCACCCTGTCCCTTCTAAAACCCTCAGTTTGTTTTTCAGGGTCCATCGTCTCTCATGGTTCGTCTCCCCCTCCGATTCCCCCCCCCTTCATTCTTCCCCTCCTGCTATCTTCTTCTTCTTCTTCTTCTTTTTTTTAACATAGAATGTATTATTTGTTTCAGAGGTACAGATCTGTGATTCAGCAGTCTTGCACAATTCACAGCGCTCACCATAGCACTGTGTATATTCTTTGCCTATTTCCCTAACAGCTTATTGGGCATTTTCTTTCTCATTTGTAGGAACTCTTTATTTTTTTTTTATTTTTTTTATTCTTATGTTAATCCCCATACATTACATCATTAGTTTTAGATGTATATAGGAACTCTTTATATTTTAAGGAAATTAGTCCTCTGTCATCTTAGACGTTACAAATATGTTTATACTGCTTATTTTATTTCAATTTTATTAGTATTTTTCTCTGTTGAAATGAATTATTTCAAATTTAGCTCTCTTTCGGTACAATTTCTGAATTTGACGTCTACAGAGTTTTACATACAAAAATACTTTCTTCCCCCCGTTTTCTCCTATTGCTTTGAGTTTGGTTTTTTATGTTTAACTATTCAAGCCATCTATAATTCACTTGAGTATATGGAGTGAGACTAAAATACCATACAATTTTTTCTAAATATCATATCATGCTGTTGACAAAATTGCCTCATATTTGAGTGCAAAATAATAAAGCTAGATCCATACTTGGTGCTTGCAAAGAACCAAGAGAGGGCTATTATAACTCAGTGAAGGAGACACAGTGCTGTCTGGATAGCAGGCGAGGAACTGCTCTGTAGGGCTTTGTAAGTCAGGGTTGTGAATTTGATCTTATTCAAGTAGTGTTTCTTTTTCATGTTGGTTTCACATGTTTCTCTATATATAGCATATATTTTGATTTTTTTAATCCATTGAACATTTTAAATTTTCTGTATTATTAATACAACAGACACATTATTATTTCCATCATTACATTTCTGTCATGTTTTTAGCTCTTAATGTTTCCTTGGTTTCTATCTTTTGTTGAAATTCTTGTCCTGCGTTACTTCCCTAAGGACTTGTAAACATTCCCACTGGCCTCTAGTATTGTATACTGCTGGGGAGAAATGTGAAGCCGATTGATCTTTCCCGTTGTAGGTTAGCTGCTTTTTCTGCCAGAATATATTAAAGAAGCGATCTTATAACATTTTAACTCATTAATTCACATATCAGGATACGGGTAGATGTTAATCTCTCTTTTTCTGTGGTTTTGCTTCCTGGAGACAAATGGTGCTCTCCCTATTGCCTGAGTAAGGTATTAAGAATATTTCAGAATTTTTCTTTTATTATATCTTTGGACATTATTTTTTTCTATTCTACTTGTTCTTTTTTTTTTTTATTTTAAGGTACACCTTTTTGGAATTTTTTGGTTATCTTTGAGAGGATGTCAGTTTCTCTTAAAATGAATGTTAACCTTTTATGCTTTGTTCGACATTTGTTTTCCCAAGCCCTCCCTCCGTACCCCTCTTTATATGCCTTTTATTTGCAACATTGACTCTTTCTTATTTGTTTCCTTCTTTGATATCTTAGACATCTTACTTTAGCTCTTGTTTCAGTGAAAAGCCACGTTTTCTTGAGCTCTTCTGTGCTTGTTAAGAGCATTCAAGATATTCTGCTCTGTGACCTGGTTCTTTCTGTAGAGATTATTTCATGTTATTGTCATTTATTTATCTATCATATTATTTCATATACATATTTATTTATTTATTTATGTTTTCCTTATTATTTTCTGATGATGTCTAGGGAAGAGGGGCTGCAAAATTGTCTCAGAACACTTTCTCATCAAATGTTCTGCTTCTTCCACACTGGTTACCTGTCTCTTTGCAGCAATACGCACCTCCCTCACCGCCATTTCTTCTCCTTCGGGGAGTTGGAGGGCCATGTGTCTCACACTGAAATGTCTGTATGTTATGGGTTTTCTGTTAAATGAGTTTGCATTAATTTCTTTTCAGGTTCCTCAATCAGTGTCTGCCCAGTTGATGGCCATTTATGCTCACTACTTTACCCTGCCATCCTCCTCATTGCTTCTTGGGGGGAAACAGTGTATGTATTTACATTGCCCCTCAACCTCAGTTTGCTTGCTATGCTGAATGGGGCAAGGGACCTCAGTCATGACTTGCCCTGCTTCTAGATTTCACCCTTTAAATAAGAGGTGGTTCAGCTGTTTCTTGGATTGTTTCCCCTGTTTCCTGGAAAACTTTATACTCTGTAGGTTTTGTCTGCTATCAGCAGTCCCCCTTGTTTGAGCTAATCTTGTTGTATTTATTATTTCCATTCTGTGTCATCTGTATTTTAATAAAGGCTATCCCATACTTTCATTGAAAATAGCTATTTTCTATTTTCAATTATTTTTGCTTTTTTCACTTGATAGTAGGGAAGGGGGAATAGCTATAGAAATATCACTACTCTACCTTCAACAAAAGACGACGAGTTAACTGAATTAAGCAATAAAATAGTTAAGTGTTCACTAGATATTTATCAGTGTTCGCTCACTTGTTTGAATAGGAGAATATAGAAGTATAACACAATCTTGGGGAAATAAAGTTACAACTCTTGAAACAATTTACAAATATGCTTGAGTCAGATGTGGATCCAGGCTCTCATTGCACTAAAAGCTTGGTTGAAGTATTGATTGTCAAGGCCTCCAGTGGTTAGAAAGCAGTGCAATTGGAAACGTTGTTTTAGGGACAGCTAATATTTGAACAGGTGTTGTAAAAAATATTTGGAGTGCAGAACACAGCACAAACTTCTGATTCTTAGTCCCCCATCAATATTTCTTGGCTGAGTGAACAGCCACGCCTCATGGAGACCTCTCAGGAGACAGTTGGATTTAAGAGTGAGTTGGCGTGTGAATTGAGGTGTATTTCATTTGATCCCACTGGGGCTCGGTGAGTCCTTTGTACTAGGTATCGTGCTCAGTACAGTTGTGCAGTGTAGGGAACGGTTCCTTTTGCAAGAAGCTTAGTCTGGTGGATTTAAGAAACTGATTTGGAAAAATCTGACTCAGTAAAATTTCAATAGCAGAGTTGACCTCAACTCTTATTATCACGGGGTAGCTGTTCTGTGTTGCCATTGTAGTTCTACTCTAGTAACAGATTCAGTCTGTCATGGTTTTTACCACTTAGGTGGATTCTATGATTAACACGGGATGCTTTAAAATCTACCTCCAAATCACTGGAATCCTGTTGTGTCCCATAAATTTAGATGACTTCTAAGCAGCGGCATTTTGTATTTCATTTATCCATATTCACGTCCTTCTAAACCAGGTTTTTGGCCAGCCTCGTGATGGCTCGCCCCTCTTCTAATGCACTCTTACTGCCCCACATCTTCTCCTAATTATGCCTGCCTGATGGCTCCTTCTCTAAAATATTTTTATTCCCTGACATTTTGCTCCACAGTTGTTTTTTATGTCAGTCTTGCTTAATCAATTAGAATTATAGTCCACTTGAAGACATAAATAATCGTCTACATTTTATTTATTTATACATCCCATGTTACTCCTGAAGATGACTTGAGCATGTTCCTTCCATATTACTGTGTTTTGACCTTGGCTGAAGTGGTGGACATCCGATTAAAGGGGGGGGGGGGTTGATATTTTATGAGCTAAGCACACAAATGACCAATAAAGGAGTTTCTATTGTTTTTTATTTATGGTTTTTATCTGTTTGAAAGTCCTACAAGGATCAAGCATATTTACCAAATCAACTTTATAGGGAAAAAGAGCATGAATTTGAGACTCTTCCAGTCAGTGAGAAAGCATTGCCACAAAACATATTTGATATAAATTAAACATAAGGTGCTTTTCTGTAAATATGTGCACATTACCAAATTGATGTATGTGTTCAGTATAAATTTCCCTTAAAATATCAGTACATGTGATATTGGGACCTTATATTTTATGAAAGAACGACCGCCACGTCCTGTGGCTCTTTCTCCCTCAGCAGCTGTGTCCAGCTGGTGGTCCGCATTCCCCCGCTACTTCTTCAGTGAATGGAAACATTTAGGTCAATATTGATATAAAACTTCTTGAACTTTCTTCTCTTTCAGCTTTGGTTCGCCTTTGTTAATGGATTTTCTGGGCAGATTTTATTTGAACGTTGGTGCATCGGCTTGTACAATGTGGTAAGCATTCTCCATCTCTATCAGATAGCATGCAGAACTTCAGTGACATTCCTTTACTGTTTATGTCTGGGAAGTGTATCTAAGTCAATCATCTGTATACATAGCAGGCAGCACAAATACATCTTTAGAGCCTTTGTTGCTGGGACACATCCTGCAGAAGCCCAAGCTCTCCACACATGGTTTCAATCATAGCAGATCATTCTTGAATAACCCCATGAAATTATTAACCCATATATCTTGATAATAGACCCTTGTTACCTCCTTACTAAATGCTTGCACAACATTTCCATGTTTTTAGCTCAAGTAAAAATTTCTGAGCTACATCTCAACCTATTCCACTTCATAATTTTATATCTGAATTCCTAAACATAGACACGCATATATAGCACGTAATCTAGTGTCCTTTTTGTCCTTCTTAAAAGAGTATCTGTCCTTGCAGAAGAATGTTTTCTTCCACTGCTAGTGCTAAAATAATGAATGCTGACTTCCAGCTCCCATGGTGAATGGTAATCAGCTTGTTTTGTATTTTGCATGATTTTAGAGTTCTTTTTTCGTTACTTCACTATCGTGGATTCAAAAGCTAGAAATAAATGTGAACTACAAGCCAAAAATGACAAAGTGTAGCTACTTAGCTTTTTGTTTGGCAGTGAGAACTAAGGTGCTCATAGCCTGGTGCTTTAGAGACCCCAGCATGCAACATTTTGAGTTGCACTTTCCCATGTCCTTTGGACACTAACTCTGACATTGCCTGCCCTGTGGGAGTTTATAGTCAGAAGCAGCCATCACAGGTAGTTATAGATGGCAGTTACCAGACATACGGTATACATCGTGGTGCTATAAATATTTACAGTTTGTGTATACATTTGTGGCTGGATGTTCAAGTCATCTGTCCACTCAGTCTTTTTCTTTTTTAGTAGCTACCATGCTAGGTGCTGGGTATAGAATGCTGCATACGACAGGTTGCCCCAGCCCTATGTAGCTTGACAAGTGAAGAGGCTCAAATAGACTAAGCTACCGCTGAGCCTGAGTTCAGATCTTGAGTTTAAACAGCATTGGTCAGTTAGGAACTGTACACTAGCACATTTGTTACTAATACTTAGGCTCGAAAGACAAAGGTGACCATAGTGAGAGCAGGGCTGAATCAATGCCTGTTCATCACCTGTGCCCTAACAACTACTCTAACTCACTTACCACATGGATAGAGGCTCAAGGACGTCCTCTCGGACAGATTGTTACCTTTGCAGAACTTAAAACTGTTTTGAGTAGATTAAAATTATGCTGACTGCTCCATAATGATTTAGTGCCAGAAAGGGCCAAAGCCATACCCATACACGTATTTATAAATAGGAAGCTGAGACCTGTGAGACTGTGCTTTAGAGCTAAGGACTGGAATGCAAGTCACCTGGTCACACGAGGCATGGAAGCGAGCCCTACTTTTGTGCTCAGGCATGACAGCCGGATTCTTTTCTTAGCTCTCTGCAGCCTTGGGCAATTGAAATTAATCCAACAAACTTGTATTGAGGGCCTGCTATGTGTAAGATGCTGATAGGCTACAGGACAGCATTGGTCAAAATAGGGTCCACACGCCACTTGCATTAGAGTAACCAGGATTCGTTTGAAGATGCAGATTCCTAAGTCCCATCAGAGTTTCTCAGAGATACTGAGAAACAAAACAAAATGTTAAACACATTTTTTTTAGGAATGGTTGTGCATATGAAAGTTTCGGACCCATGATGACCTTTGATCCCTAGAGTTGGGAATGTGTGGTGTGCTCTTTGTGTCCCCCAGACTATAGAAAAGAGAGTACTGCAGGAGAGAAGTGAATTTCCAGGTGAAGTGGCCCATGTCACTACAGGTCCACAATACAGGTATTAGAGTGGGTCACCAACCAGTGGTGGCAGCGTTGGGACAGTCAAGGATCTGTGAAGTGGTCTCAGAAAGGTGTTGGCCTCCAGAAGTCAGTCATGCTGGAAGGGCCAAACCTTTTGAGAACATGGAAGTCTGTCTCTGTAGAAATTATTTTGGTAAATTTTGTTTGAAATAAATTGAAACTCTGAGAAATACTGCAAAAAGTGTACGAAGAACTCCTGTATTAGATTCCTCAGTTATTAGCATTTTGTCCTCATTTGCATTGTCTGCACACATGCATGTGTGTGCACACCCCCCATGGGCACTCGTGGTACACACACACCAACACACTCATTTCTGAACCACTTGAAAATAACTGAAGACATCAGGCCCCCTTACTTTGGTGCACAGATGCTAAGGCCACAGACTTATATAACCGCAGTATAATGATTGAAGTCTAAAATTAAGCATGGATACAATACTATTATCTGATCCATATCAGTCCATATTCCAGTTTTGCCATTGCTGTTCCAATAATGCCTATTTAGTAGGTTTTTCCCACTCCAGCCGCACTGCACAGAGTACAGTATGGTATAAGAGGCAGTTTGGGACATCTAAGATGTTCACTAGGGACCCCTCTTCTGGGCTGGATTTCCTCTTACCATTTTCTCCAAACAGCATTTCTGTCTTGCTTGTCTTGCTTTTTCTTCTTCTGTATTTACTCTTTATATTTATATTTGATTCCCCAGGCCAGCTAAAGTAGCGAGTCATCATTTCTCATAGCAGATTAAATAGCATTAAAACTGATTTGAAACTCTTAAATCCCTCAGAATAATGAATGAGTGTCATCCCATTGGATTCTCATTATATCCATAATCAAATTTCTCCATCATTTTATTTTATGGTTACTAGAACCACCATGATCAGATGGATTTCAGTTAGATTTCATCCTCATTTTATTAAGGGATAACACTTAATGTGTTTTAAACTGTTTCAAAAATTTATCCCTTTTAATCTTATCAAGTCAGAATAATTTGAAGAAAATGTGAGCCAGCCTCACTTGTAAACAGTATTATAAAAACTCTAAATAAAATAGCAGCAAATAGAGTTCAACAATGTATCAAAAGAGTAAAATATTTGACCAAGTAGGGCTTATTTCAGGAATATAGGATGTTCACACTTTTTAAATATTTCTAAATATCATTATATCAATGAAAGAAAAAAGAAAAACCTGATCTCATCAGTGGTTGCTGAGAAAGTATTTGAGCCAAGTCAGCTGCCATTCCCAAAATAAGAACTGTAAGTAAAATAGGAAAGAAAGAAGCCAATTAACTATAATCTAGACTATTTATAAAAAAACAAAAAAAAAAAACCAAAAAACAGTAGCATATTGCCATAAATGGCAAAATTCTTAAATGATTTCATTTTAAATAAGAAATTAGTCAGGGATGCCTGAAATCACTATATAATTCAGCATTGTTTTTAGAATTTTCAGCACCTGCCAAGAAAATTAACTATTTCAAACACTAGAAAAAAATGATTTCTGTGCATATACAAATATGCACACAAAAAGTGGCCTTTTAAATGTGTTCATAAATGGCTGTATATCAGAAAACCCAAAAGATACCAGTAAAGAAATACTAGAATTATAAGAGAATTTGTAAGGCGACTAGATCCATAATAAATATATAAGGACCAATAGCTTTTTTCTATCCTAGCAATCAATAGCTTTTTTTAATTAAAGATTTTATTTATTTATTTGAGAGAGAGAGAGTGAGAGACAGAGAGCACGAGAGGGAAGAGGGTCAGAGGGAGAAGCAGACCCCCAGCTGAGCAGGGAGCCCGATGTGGGACTCGATCCCAGGAGTCCAGGATCATGACCTGAGCCGAAGGCAGTCGCTTAACCAACTGAGCCACCCAGGCACCCATCAATAGCTTTTTTTTTTTTAACTCTAGCAATGAGCACTTAGAAATGCAAAGGTTTAATAATTACTTTCATATACATTGCATAGGAATAATTTTTACAGTACCAAATAGAAAAACAAAATCCAAAATCTTATTGAAGTATACAAAATAGAGTTGAACAAATAGAAAGGCTTTCTTTTGTGTGAGAAGATGGTATCATAAAAAAAACTCCTCTAAATTGATATATAAATTTATGTATTCCAAATAGAATCCCAGTGATTGTTTGGTGGGGGGGGAGGGAGTTGCATGAAATGATATTGAAGTATAAATGGAATTAACACATACCTGAGAATAAAGATGTAAAGTACAAAAAAGAACAATTGTAAGGGTCAACTTCTCTCTACTAAACATCAATCTATACTACAAACCTGTTGTAACCAAGTCAATGTGATGCTGACATGAAACTGGACTAATAAGTTAGGGAATCCAGAAGTAAATTCCAGTTTTGGATTCCAGATCTGTAGTATGTAAGAATTTAATAAATGTCAAAGGTGCTATTTTAGGTTAATGGGAAATGTTTGGATTAATTGTGTTCTAACAACTGGCTCTTTATTTGGAAAAAAATAAAATTAGACTTCTATCTTATACCACATAGATAAATAAATTCAGATATGTTAAGGCTTACATGTGAAAAATGGAAACTGTAAGCTTCCTGCAAGAAACTCCTGAAAACTTTCATAACCATAATTGGACGCTCAAAGCTATTCTTGACCATATAAAAATTAAACGCTTTTATACGGCAGGAGAAACCATAAAGAAAGTCAGGAGACAGAGTGCATTTGGATGAAACTTTATAATATGAAGACAGAATGGATATCTATTATACTCCAAGAACCTTTAGAAAAGTGGATAAACCACAAATAGAAAACAGACAAAGGACCTGACTAGACCATTCACAAAATTGCAAGTCCAAATGTCCAACAAATAAAAACATACTCAAACGCACCGATTGTCAGGGAAATGTAAATTTTTTAAAGATTTATTTATTTATTTTAGAGGGAGGGAGAGAGAGGACAAGCAAGTACAGGGGGTGGGGAGGCAGAGGGAGAGAGAAATAGAGAAACTCTAAGCAAACTCCGCGCTGAGCACAGAGCCCGACTCGGGGCTCAATCCCAGGACCCTGAGATCACAAACTGAACTAAAACCAAGAGTTGGACGATCAACCAACTGCACCACCCAGGTGCCCCAGAAATGTAAATTTTTTAAAGTAAGAGTTAATATCTCCAAATTTTTAGTCTGGAGAATATTAAATATAACACCCATTGCTGATAGGGAAGCAGGGACAAGATTACTGTTGTCCTTTGTGAGGGGAAAGGTAAACCTCTTGTGAAAGCAACCAAGCAGCATCTTATAAAATTTACAATAAATGTATCTTTTTACCCCACCACCATCTTTTTACCCTGTTTCTGAGAAACTTTCCCATAGAAATAAAAGATAAAGTATATATATTATAATATATTGTAGATGTTTTTTATATAATGTTTGTGGAACAAAGAAGTGGAAAGAAATGAATGCCTATCTGTAGGTGAATAGCTTAAAAAATACGGTGCATTCATACTATGAATTACTATGTAGGCATGAGAAAGATTGCATTAGTGTCAAGCCCAGGGGACTTGAAGGGCATCCCATAGTGCATTGTTTTGTGAGAGAAATATGATGAAGAAAAATGTGTAATAATGTCTGGTTTCTGTAACAACAAAGAATGATCCCCAAACAGTATATGTATGTGTACGTGGTATGTTGTAAGCAGGGTGAAAATATCGTAGGCCCTACCGGGTAGTTGGCCATTGGTGAAGGGTAGTACGCTTTGAAGTGGGTAGAAAGTCAAGTAAAAAAGAAAAAAAAAAACAAAAACAAAAAACAAGATGGCAGTATCAAGTGTGCATGATAGCACATTTAAGCAAAACCACAAGGGTGAGTTGATGTACTAAGAGTGTGCAAAGCTTCTGAGATGTCTGTTAGGAGCACCTCCCTTAAACAGACAACTTGTATTCCTGTGAAAGAGACGAGTACGACCACTCTTGCCTTTTATCCTTGAAATCTGGAGAACACTGACATCCCAGGGCTGTTTTCCTTTCTGCTCCAGGGTGAAAGAGGAGCCTGCAAGTTTTATTGGCCTTCCTCCACCATATCTCTGATTGCTTTATCGTAAGAGATTTAGAAAAGGCTTATTTATCTGGACTCAGGCTCCAGTAACTGGTGTACACAGTGTTCTCAGAGGCACACGTCCAGTTCTCACGGGCTTGAGGGCTTGCTGGGTCTGCGGGTATGGATTTGCTCGATGCTGATGCTTAGCAATGAGTGACCCAGTCTGTTAGCCATTCCCAGAACCAAGTAAGAGAATGGCCTGCAGGACTGCTGTGCCCTCTGGGCTGGAATGATGTCTTTATTCCAAACCTCTTCTTCAGGATCTGGCTTTCTTTTTCCAAAACACAGATATGAGTGTGTCCGCCTCCTGTAGATTACAGGTAAAGTTAAAAGTCTCAGAAGGCACCTTCTGCCCAAGAAACTCATTGTCATGGGAGCTTGCGGTCTCCTTCCCACCCCTGTCTTGTGTTGTGCCCTGTCCTCAGCCAGCCAGCACCCTCGATGTCTTAGAATTCCAACCCCCACCCCCAAACGTACCACATGTGTTCAGACCTGAAACTTTATGAGGGGTGCCTGTTTCAGGGGAGTCCTTCCTTCTGTGCCCCTCTCCCCGACATCCCGTTTCCTCCTGCCAAATCCCCTAGGTCCAGTACCTTACAGGTCAGGCACTCTGGTCCCAGAGTCCTTTCTTGACTCTCCCTTCTCCTTCTCCATCCTCTCCTCCATGAGTTTTGCAGAGTGCTGTGTTTTCTGTGTTTATTTATATGCCTGCTGCTGGCTGTCTGTCTCCACCTCTGCAGTAGACAGAGTTCCTGAAGGTCAGGGACCTGCTTCTTTTCCTTCTTCTTCTGTCTTTAAATCTCCGTACCTATTCCTGGTGCTTATCACAGTGTCTGGCCCATAATTCATTCCCAATAAATGTCTGTCAGATGAATAAATGGATGAAGCACATCGTGCTTCCTGAAACCTGAGTATAAGATCAGGATGGGAAGTTGTAAAGTTGTGCCTCAGCCGATGCTCACGGGAAGCACGACACTTCACAAAGCCACCTAAATCACTGCTCATTTGGCAAAGGAAGGTAGTTGTTAATTTAACATGATTTCTTAGCTAATCAGATATTTATGGTGTTGTTTTTAATGTCCAGTGGATTCATTTTATGCTGATTAACAATTAAAAACGGTCTTTCATGCACTTTCTTTGGAGGGTGTCTGGGGAGTTGTGAATCATTGAATCTCAGGTTTGGACTTGACTTAAAATTAAGTCATCATTCCACAGAATGGAAACACCTAAGCCAGGTGAATCGGAATGTCCTCTTTTAATGGCTCATTGTTCTCCATACAGATTTTCACCGCACTACCACCCTTCACTCTGGGAATCTTCGAGAGGTCTTGCACCCAGGAGAGCATGCTCAGGTTCCCACAGCTCTACAAAATCACCCAGAATGCGGAAGGCTTCAACACAAAGGTACACAGTATTATTGCAGAATTGTCACCTCAGAAGGGCATAAGCACTGCTGTATGTCTTCCAGCTCTAGTTATCTGCCTGTGAGAGAGCTAATGCATTAGAGAGAACATTCGAGAAGAGGTGAGACCCTCGCCCTCTGCCAGTGTAGCAAGCCAGTGAATTCAAGATGCCAGCTCGGAAAGGAAGCTTCCGTGCTGCAAGTTCAGTTCCTGTTTGTTGACTCCTTTCCTCTTTTCCACGTGTGGCCAGCAGCACCCATGGCCCCGGGGCCTTTAGGATCAGCTACAGAGGCTCCCCTTACCCTTCATAAAACCCTGCATTGAGGTGGGCTGGGAGCTTGCCTAACAGAGCCTTCTCGCCACTGTGGCTTGGTTTTTCCTTTAAAAGAAAATGTTTCTTTAGCTAGTGAGAAAAATTGGCCAGATGTCAACACAGGAATCAAGTCAGTCATAGGTATCTTTTTTTTCAGACCGGAGAATCAGAAGAGAGAAAGCCCCTAGACCTGAAAGGTATAAATAATCCTGCGAAGGGCCAAGCAGAAGCTGGGTTAGGTGTTGCCAGGATTCTGCAGTCAGGATGGGCAAAGGGGACATCCTGGGGTCTGCCAGTCATAGCTAACTGGCAGAGTGGTTGAGGGCTACCAGTCAGGAGGGAAGACATGTGCCTGGCTTGGAGCAGGTCGCCTGTATTACCATGTTTCTGTCTTAGATGTTTGTGCAGGAGGGGAGATTAGGAAGTTGAAACAGAGGTTCATTGAAACCTTTTAACAGAGGTCAGTGAAATTACTGGGCACCGGTTGTGTGCATGATTTGCTTGGGTACCCCCGGGACCTCGGTAAGGATGCCAAGGGGAGTCCTCCATAAGAGAACAATCTCTGAAGCTTTTGTTTTGAGCCAGGTATTACTGATAGTCTTCTTTCAGAGCTGCCTTATTTTGAGGAAAGCATAACAGGCACATCCAAGCCTGGAAAAAATAAAATGGATCCTATTGGTCCTAGTGTCTTCCATACACAGGAAGACTCGGATGAATAATTGTATCAGTCCCTGTTTACTATGATTTTATCAATGGGAAGCAGGGCCTTTTGGTTCTGCATTCTTTCTATAAATCTGTTTTTTATAGAGCTTGAGTTCAAAGGCCCTGTAAGATGGGAAGTAAGTTGGGAATGGAGCTACTTAAAAGGTAGTAGAGCTGAGAATGCTCTGAGACTTATTTGCAGACACCTTGGAGTTTTTGTTTGTTTGTTTGTTTGTTTGTTTGTTTTTTGAAGGCACAGGTGAAGAGGTTAGTGAGAAGGAAGAAAAAAAATGAACATTTAAAAATGGGAAAATCCCATTGTCTTACAATTTTTTTCATTTTTCTGTTTCCCCACCACTACTTAGGATCAAACTATATGACAATCCCCAGAACAATCTAGATTTTTAAAATAAATTCAAGCTGGCTTTAGTATAATAGTTCTGTCATCTCAGTAGTTAAAAAGATCATTGAAATGCATTTGTAAAACCTTAATTTAGAAGAAACTAAACTTTGTGTTCTTTTGTTTGACCTTTGAAGTGTTAAAGAGAATTTTTAAATGTGCATGATATTAACCAAACTCCTAGAAATTAACAAGTTGCTCAGGAGGGATTTTAAAAAGCAAAACAAAAGAGCGTAGAAATCTATATTTAAAGTGTTTTTAATGCTTTCAAAAAGTCCCCAGTTCCTGTCTCTTGTTAACAATTTTGACCTAATACCTTTCTCTTTCTAGATGATTATAAAAGTCTGTTGTCTTTTTATGATCCTAAAAAAAAAGGGATTATAATTCATTTTTTGGATGTGGACAGATTGTATATTGGTCCATGTATATGTGCATATATATTTAGGTCTTTGCAGCAAGGTAATATTATCTGGAGACAGTCCAGTCATTTGTATGTAAAAATGAGGAAATCGGTATTTTTTTAACTTCAAGAATAATACGCTACTTCTGGAGCGACGCAGCCCACTGCCAGTATCCTTCACAATGAGGCGTTTGTTGAGTTGCACAGAGGTCAAGAGTTGTGGGCAGCTCCTGACTCCCTTGGTTTGTTTTCCCTTAGGTTTTCTGGGGTCACTGCATCAACGCCTTGGTCCACTCCCTCATCCTCTTCTGGTTTCCCATGAAAGCGCTGGAGCATGGTAACGGCTTCATGATCTCAACTGTCAGCAAGTAGCTCTGCAGTCCCTCTGGTGCCAGTTGTTCACAATTTTTTTTTCCCAGTTCTGCAGACCGAGAGATCACAAGAACACATTTTAGAAGAAAAACATACCTAAAATCTAATGAGAGCTCGGGCTCAGTTTATAGCTTGTAGGTTTCATCCATTCTGGCTCTGAGAGCCCATTTTCTTTCCAGTTGCCTGGAGAGTTTAAATGCTAGAAATTCTAAACTGTATTTTTAATAACTGTTTGAGTCGAGGATCTTGAAGCAAAGCACTGTACTATAATGAAACATCGATGCCTCTCGTCCACGAGTTTGACATTTTCTGTTAATTTCTTGGGCTTTCATTTTCCAACCTCACATACCTCTATGCAGAAGCACTCAAATCTTGTGAGAGTCTAACCTTACACCTAGTTTCTTGAAAAAGTCTCCTTTCCTTGACATACACTTTTCAAGCAACCTTTTAAATTTTGAGGCCTGATTCTCTCCGCTGGTTTTAGTCTTTCCTCCAGCTGGAAGAGGACGTGTGAGAAACATGGCTGCCCGTATTTGCTCACACTCCTGAATACACCCAAAAGTTTGCCTCCTAAAGAGACGCATCTTTTCGTCTCAGAAAAAGGAAATGGATCATGAGAATGCTACTCTTTCATCCCTCTCAAATAGTAATAATCCCCTTGGGAAAAATTACTCCAAATGTTGACTAGACAAGGCCTTTTATTGTTCAGAGAACCAGAGACTATAAAGCTTCCAAGCCTCTTTGTTTCTGTGTCAATCTGTTTTGTGCTTCAAACAGAAATGATTCATCCTCACTGATATTCTTTAACCTATTAAATACCGACAGAGAAAATGCATGCACAGCCAATTTATTACACCCTATGACCTGTTCTTTGAGTTTCATCCGACCTCCTTTTCCTTCAAGGGTCCCTAAGTCTCTAGATCAAGAAATAAAATGTTCTGCTTCTAACCGCGCCCCCCCC